CTCGCCCCGGCCCGGTCCCGTCTCCGCGCCGCCCGCCGCGCTCGCCGTTATGCTGCCACCTAGCGGTTGCACGGCGGCACCACCGCCCCATGACAAAAGATGGTGGCTTGGGACGTCTAGTCTAAGCGCTACCTTAAGAACTCGCAGTTCACCTCCGAGTTGAGGACTGGCAGAGTTTTGAAAAGGTGTAGGTTCCCCTGCAAACAAAGGCGTGGAGGGGGAAGAGGGGGAACCAACTTAAAAATATTTTTGTAAGTTTTCAACAGGTTTATGCAAGTTTGTAAAGCTTTAGAACAAAAGGGTTAGTGGAGAGGGCGTGTTTGAATATACAGCATTTGCGCACAGATCAGAGCAAGAGGGAGACAGAAGCACTAAAAGCTGAGGCAAGAATTATTGATAAGTGATGTAGATGTCTCAAGAGCACAGGGAGCCTTGTCAGGACTATGGTAACACTGGAACTTTCTTTCAATCAGCCGTTCGCTTACCAGACCGACGAAATGTTAGTGGTCTGCTGTGGTTCAATGTTGCCCAACCAGGTAATACATGTTCCTGAAGTACTTTCTAGTAGTAACTTCAAATACACACTCAGAGTTGAGCAAGCTGAAGAGCAAAAGTCTCTTCAAAAAAGATTTTAGGCACCAGTGCTCGGGGCAGGATTCCCGTACCTGTTCCGCTCAAAATGGAACCAGTTAGCAGTCAAGACTCCATCTTCTTGCCACATGCTACGAGCAGACATTCTCTCTGTGGGGGTGTTACTCCTTTCTGCTGCAGGCCAGAAAACCCAAGGTATACATAAAGCTATATAAGATTCCTCATCTGAACTACGGTTGGCTTTTAGGGGTCAAGATGAAAGACTGAGGATAAGGACATAATGTGAAATAGTTTACAGCAGACTGTATTTCATGCCAAAAATACTGTTCTATATTTCAATTTGCTACTAGAAATACAACAGAGAATTCTGTATAGTAACACAATATGAATGCAAGTCAAATGCTCAGCTAATTTCAGTAAGTTACTACATACAAACCAATAAATAGTCCTGAAAAGTCACGGTCATAGAATAGTTTGGGTTGGAAGGGACCTTTAAAGGTCATCTAGTGCAACCCCCCTGTAGTGATCAGGGACGTCTTCAACTATAGCAGGTTGCTCAGAACCCCGTCCAACCTGACCTTGAATGTTTCCAGGGATGGGGCATCTACCACCTCTCTGGACAACCTTTGCCAGTGCTTCACCACCCTCACTGTGAAAAATTTCTTCCTTAAATCTAGTCTAAATCTATCCACTTTTAGTTTAATACGATTATCCTTTGTCCTGTCATAACAAGCCCTGCTAAAAAGTCTGTCCCCATCTTTCTTAGAAGTGCCCTTTAAGTGCTGGAAGTCTGCAGTAAGGTCTCCCTGGAGCCTTCTCTTCTCTGGGCTGAACAACCCCAACTCTGAGCCTGTCCTCACAGGAGAGGTGTTCTAACCCTCTGATCATTTTTGTGATCCATGGTCTGTCCTCTGGCCCCTCTCCAACAGGTCCATGAATGTCATTACAGCATACATTAAATAGGGATTTAAATTTTAAGATAAAAGTATTTCTTTAGGAGACAAACTTATTTGCTGTGTCAATTTTAAACTAGCTCTTGAGGGATTTCAAAGATATCCAGTATTGGTTGGCAGGTTTGAAGATTATTCTTGAAAAGCTGTGCACAATCTATACATATTTTTCAAAGCATTATCTGATATAAATGTAAAGTGTCTGTAAAGCTTCAAGTCTGGAGATTATGTCCACTTTTCTTACCAGAGACAAGCAGCACACTGCATAAAAAAAATTAAAATGTCAATAATGGTATGACTTCAATTTAAAAAGAATTAAACACCTCCCAACCCTTAACTTCAGGAAGATCGTATCACCTTGAGAAAATTCAAAACCATAGAGCACAAAAGATACCAGTTAGTACATCTTCTTCTTTCCATATGATTAACCTATATTATTTTGTATCTAAAATAAAAAAATTCCCCCAAAAGGTGGGCAAGGTATGACTTGAAAAGCAAACCTGGAAAAGGAAAATATCTTATTCTTCATTAAACTCTTCAGAGTGTGTTTGCTAAATGTCATGGACCATATAGCACATGAGGACCATTTCACTGCTGAATAGTCTACTCAGAGAGAAGGGGAATGGAAGAGAAGCCTAGTGAAAAGCCCCAAAATTTACTATGGGAAGTTAAAAAAAAAAAAAATTAGAAGGAAGGGGAAGAAGAGAAGAGGACAGAACCAGTTTCCAACAATAATACTTTCTCATCAGAGGAAGCAACAGGTGTTTATCAAATCAATAAGGATATAAAAAATTTAATATATTAAAGGCATTTATAATTATTAGTTTTGTTCTCATTGCAGGTTCCCAGGATACAAATGGAATAGAATAAGTTTGGTCACCTTCAAGAAGTGGGTATGTTTAAAAAACTAACACTTTTCAGTGGGCAAAACTTTAATAACACCACCATAAAACAATTATACAAAAATCATATACATATTTTGACTGTTCTAAATTATATATGTACTTGATTTTAATTTGTGGAAAAGTAACTTTTGACAGTTTCAGGTGTAGCTGAAAAAAAAAAATTTTCTACTTTTCTCCAAAAGGGCAAGCTGGAAGTTTGACAGTTCATCAGATTTGTAACAAGAGACTTACTATATGGGTAAGGCAATAATTCTGTTCCCAGAGATGATGACTGGGAAACAACAGCATACCTAATGTCTGCTCTGTATCATACTGCTTTGACAGGAGGAACAAGGAAGTGTGGGTCAGAAGAAACCTGTTTTTTCTTTCAGGGTGGTGGAAATCAAACCACAAAACATAAGCCAAAAGATGAGAAGTATTATTTCTTTCTCCGTCCCTTGGCTGCTGGAGCCATGAGCTCAGCAGTAAGAATTTAAAAGCAAACTGGAAAAAACCACCCCTTTCAATTCAACAGCATACTAATATTATCATTGACCAGATTATAAAATTCAAAAGAGCTAAATACTTGGGATTTTGTGAAGGGGCTTGGGGAAAGGGACGAGGAAGAAAAATATTGGGAAAAAAGTATTTTTGCTCCAAATGACTTTTACAATTTCAAAAAAACCCAGACATTTCAATGATGACTTTGATTTGCCTTGATTCAGAAACACCATGAAGATATTTCAGATGACACTGGTTAAAAAGTGACAGAAGCCTTCAGCTTCAAAGTACAATAGTTTTTTTTTATTAAGAAAAAAGTGAAATACTCAAACTGGACCACTAGATTAAGATGCTATTAAAATATAACCATGAAGGTCAATAAAAATGAAGTAATTCCTTTATGTAGGTGTAAAGAGAGGCCATTTTAAGTATGTAAGTGAATAGCTAGATGTGGGTACTTCCACAACACAATAGTCCTTCCAAATTGCTTAACTGTACCAACCAACTGTTGATATGGCAGAAATTCTGTTTTACATTCTAGGTCTCAGTTTTGTATCAGAGTATCTGCAGGTATTCCTTTTTGTATTTCTTTTGGAATTTGAGAGTTTACAGGTTTGGGGGGATTTTGTTTTGTAGTTGTGTTTTGTTGTTTTTGTGGGGTTTGTTTGTTTTGTTTTTTGGTTTTTTTTGTTTTATTTTGGTCATCTAGTATTTAATGAACACATATGCAAGTACACACAAGAGAAGCATACAGGTATCTCAGTTGTAAAAGGCATGTTTTTCTTCTTTTTCACACAATCAACGTTCTATTTTGAAGTCTTGCTTCTCCTGCCCCATGTTACATTCTGTGCTACGATTTGTTATTCAGCTGTGCAGACTTCAAACACCGATACGTAGTACAGCATTAAGGAATTTCCTGAGTCAGGTTTATTCATCATTATCTGTAAAAAGCAGGACAGGGAGAGAGACAGGGTGAAAAGACAACACACACATACACACAAAATCAAGCTGGGGCTACAAAAACTAGAAAACACAATTTAGTAAGCAATACTACAAGAACCCTAAGTCACTCACCAGTGAATGAGGCGACTGTTACCAAAACTGCCTGGAAAGCACTATGTGTACAAATACTGAGCAACGTGTCATCTGTATTGGATTAGGGAATTTAAGATAGTTTCATCTCAGGTGGCCTGCTTCAGTTGGAACAATCCTCTTAGTAAAGAGCAACATAGATTTTTTTCTAATTTTTCTTATTTGAAGAGTATAAAGCTTGAGACAGAAGCTCATGAACACGCTTCTGACTGTCACTTGTCCTCTGTTCACCTGTATTAGCATAGGATTTTTTCTTTAAATGTCTGAAATTTAAAGAACTACTTCAAATGTAGGGGGGTTTATGTACTTTAGTACTAAAGTATTACATGTACTTTAAATGTCTGAAATGTAAAGAACTGCTTTTTCTTTACAGTTGTGTATGCCACCACAGATTTGTAAAATAGAGAATCAGAACTGAAGCTATTAAAAATAGCCACTTGTTAATCAGCATTTTACAAGATGAAAGTCAGCTCATTTTAATAGGATTCACTCAGACAACAGCTTACAATTTGTATGCCAACATTTCAGCAAATTGCCATTTAAGCCTTTTAAGTTCTAAAATACCCTTAGGGCAAAGCAGTAAGGAAAAGAAACTAGTAACACTGTGGTTACCATTTTCTCCTCGTTCTATATTGCCAGTCCTTTGGACGCTTGAAAAATTAACTACTACAATGTACCTTACCAATTCTGTTGTTAAATTAATAAAGTGCTGTTGAAAAAAATATTTTATAGACACTTTTCTGTCATACCTCTGTTAACACAGCATGTAAACAACATGGTCCTCGTTATTCTTACTGCATCAGTAGCAAAGAAAAATTGCAAAAATGTAATTTGTATTAGAATTTTTTTTTAATTACTATGTTTTTAAAACTAGATTTTAAGACTTTTTTCCCCCAAGCATTTATATATAAAAACCATACACAGCCGTAATCATCTTTGACCCTGTATTCACTGCTACTGCAACACATTTGTAAAAGAATTTAAAAGATGCAGAAAGTAGATGTTGGTTAACATGCATTAGAATATTTTTTAAAAATTGACATACATTACATAGTGATTATTACACACATTTCTAAAGCCAAAATATAATGCTTCTGAGCTTTTAGGTTTCCCTTTTTTTTTTTCTTCCCCTTTCCAGTAAAAGACTTTCATCATTAGAAATCTAACATAATTAGACATTACATAAGTGCAGTTAGATTTTTGACATGAGAGAAAAAAACCCCACCAAAACCATTTCTCACTGGTAGGGGTCTGTGTGGTATTTCATAGAGCAATTCTGAAAGATCTGGGAACTATCCATCATCTGCCTAGTAACCTGTGCTAAACTAGGCAGGGCTCCCAAGCAAGATAAATTCTTGTCATGTATTGTTGAGCCACCTATTGAAAACTAAGATGGATCGTACCCCCACATCAAGTCTGTCTGAAAAATTACAATCACAGGATAAAGAACTACATTAAATTTTCTTCTCAGAAAAGTAGCAATGCTGCAACCCATTAAAATGGTGTTTTAGAAATAACAGTATTGTTTTAGGTAAAAATTAGTTAATTCTTAAGACAAAATTGTTTTTAATTCTGAAAGTTTTATTCTAGACTTCCATCTTCCAAATCTGTGTAACTGTTTCACAGAAATTAAATAATTATACTACCCCTTTCTGTTGTTACAGTTGACTGTACATGTACATGGTGTTAAACCAGAGTAGTCAGCATGCTTCATCAAAGTTTGCCACGTTTTGTTGCAAGAATAAAAACACCCTTTCTGAAAAAAAATATTTTTATCAATTTAGCCAATGAAGAAAACAAAAAGACAGATACGTTTTAAAAGTATACTAGAACCTATTGTACATAACCATAAGACAACACATAACTGCCAGGATACAGTGAGATTACCTTCTTGGTAGGCTCCATCTGCCATTACTAGGTGAAGTATTTTGGCATACAGGTGTTTGTGTTCATTTCCAAGAATAGTTTGAACTATGGTTGAGCCAATATCAATATTTTCATCTTCATCTTCATGTATAGCCTGGGAGAAAGGACAATCCATTTTGCCAACATTAAACGGGTCTAGAATTAAATAGTTCAAATTTTTTAAATGCAATTCATGGTTAAACCCAACATTTTCCTCTTGAATCCTCTGGCATGGCATTTTCTGTGTTAATATTTCGGTGTGTCGAAACAAAATAAAAGACTAAATAAATAAGCGTTGATTCTAGTCACACAGTGCAGTTAGTTTCTGGCACAGTAAACAGCCCTAGGTACATTTATCTTGTTTCTTAAAATATTTTCTACTTGAGGTTATTCCACAAACCTTTATTTTCTCATAAACTTCAATGAATTTTTCAAAGCCTATTTCCTGCTCCAGGTTATATCTCAACTCTTCCAAATGGCTGAAGATACTTTCACATTCTTCACATTCACTGGCAATCTCTCCATCACTATTATCTAAAAAGAAAGAAAACAACAGTAAAACCCCCTCAGTTTTCCTGCATTCTTACTGTTGTTTCCATGTCCCTAAACTTGATATCCACACAGACCTCTAAATGTAACGATAGCACATAAGCTCAGGAGCACCAGACAATGTTGGCAGACATTCTGAGCAACCTGCAAGGAAACAGGAACAGTCCCTTTCTTGACAGCAAATAAATTCTGAATCCCAAATGGGAAGTGTCTAGCTGTCTCCTCTAAAACCCTACTCTGATAGCTGGCCATAAGGGTATTCATACTGAAGGAAAACAAGGTATGGTCTCAAAGCAGACCTTTATTTACCAAAGCAATGTTAGTAGGTCGAGTTCCGTACAACCTTTCCACGTATTTCTGAGGTGCAACTGATGCAGGGTTCAGTGGCTGTCCCACACTAGGGAGAAGGTGGGACACTGACACCAAATACCGCAACGCTTGCAACAACAGCAGCATCACAGAAGCAGAATAGTATTGTATCTTGTTAGTGTATAACATCAGCATCGTCAAAAAATGACAGAAGATGGTATTACCTATGGTTATTTTACCTTAAAATACTTATTGGAATGTATTATATAGAAAATATCTTAAAGCAATAGTCACAGATTTTCAATTTGTTTAAAATTGTCTCCAACAAACCAAAATTACACAAAACCTATGTTTTAGATTAGTTACCGATTTTATACATCTTGTTATACCTGTATTTCTAAATGCACTTTGTTTTACAGCGGTAGTAAAATACTTCTATTTCAACCAGAATTTAAAAAACAGAACTGAGACTTCAGGACACCATTGGGTGTAGCTACTGCAAAATGCTAAAAGCAGTAATAAATTTTTCCATCTCATTTTTAGTTTTACTGCATTAACAGCTATTTCTGGCTAAGGACAAGGTTAATAATTTCATGTTCCTTTTGACTGCTTGTTAAATTACTTAATTGTAACGTAAGCTGGACCCCAGATACTCCAAGTCATGTCAATTGCTGTTTCTTTTTCACTCTTAGATTGCAGTCAAGAATTATTCAAAACATATAACGTGCACAGAGCCTTTGATCTTCCTTGAAGACAAGTTTTAGGCAACTAGAGAAAGAGTTACTTATAATCACTTCCTAATGAATAGCCAACATTTAATTTGCAACACAGCATGTTGCTTAGATGTTGACCTTAGCATTCAGAAAGTCTAAATATTATCTGACTTTTTTAAACTTCTGTATAAAAACTATTAATTAGAGCTTGATTTCATTATAAGCATTCAGTATACAATCGAAAAACATTCTCTGTGTTTGAATTGTTAACATCAATAACTAACTTTTAAACCAGGTATAACAGAAATTATACCTGATTGCCATTCTTCATTAAGTGCACTTTCACTGCTGGGATTATTTTCATCTCCTTCATCCAGCTCTGTACCATTTGTTATGCATCTGATGACATTAGCCTTTAAAGTCGACTCCTCCTCTTCACTGAATTCCTCACTAGGCTGCTCCCTAAGCAATTGTTCCATTGAGGCCCGGAGCTCCTGCAAATCTGTATCTGCCTCCCCAAACATACTAAAAGAAAGTGATATAAAGGTTATATAATTAATACTTTACAAGACGAGCCCTGTAGGAAGAGCTCATTTCTTTTGATAAGCCAACAAACTGGAAAGCCAATGGGGGCGGGGGGGGAAGGGGAGAAAAAGTGACAAATATTTGTGTCCCCAGTCTAACATGATTACAGCACTGATACCACTATAACATGCAAGACACAGCAAATAAAGATTAAACAGATACCAGACTGTATCATCATAGAAAGATGATGATAGGTCCTCAATTCAACTTTATTAGTAAGATAATTTCAAAATCTTTGTATTTGTGCACTATTATAGAACCCTGGCAAGTATAACATTCCCAATCCAGGTAAAAATGTGTCTGAAGCAAAATAAGAGATCTAGATCTCATCAGATTAGATACACCAGAGGATTTTATCCTGCAGACTACCCAAGCTGCAGGGAATAGCCAAGAGCCAGGGTCAGATTTTGAAGCCCTTGAAAGAATTTGGGGGACTTGAAAGGCATCCCAACACAACAGTAGAGAAGGTAGGTGAGTGAGATTCCCAGAACATACAAAGAAAGGAAATATCCAAGAGATCTTTATTTCTAGAAAAGCGGCAGCCATCAACTTTGATCTGCTTCAGCAGAATTCAAGGTACAGAAGCCAGATAGAACAGCATCTTGGATGGAATTTGGAAAGGAAATTCAGAGAGCTATTGTAAGCAGTACATCCTGTTAGCTTCTCAATTCTCTGGAACAAGACTCAGAGTAAACAGTGATTCAACACAGGGTTTTTAAATTTGGTTAAAAACCCTATGCTGGTATACTGTGTATAAGCGTTAAGGTATAACCAAAATTGTTCTTCATCTAAGATGCCTGTTGAAATACTGGATAAACTCAATACACTCACACATCCTCAGAATCAGAAGGTCCTTCTTTGACTTGCTCATCTTCCGTATCATCTATTTCAAGATTATGTTGATGCTGCACATCTGCTACACTGGGAACGTCTACTAAAGTTCTGTACAGTTTGTAAAGATCCGGGAGTGAACATGTTCTCAACATCTGCAAAGGTAATAGAAAGCCTGTTTGGTAACAATAGTAAAGACAGTCTGACATTTAAATGAGGGGTTTTTTTAATCCTTTTTCATTTGAGGGTCAATATCAAAATAATGATGTAACCAGCACAGATACCCTAATTCTTGAAATTTTGACATCTTGGATTTTGCCTCTCAGCTAAAAGGAAAGCATTCCTTCTGCCTTTATGGGTGCAGTGATTGAAAAGCTTTAAGAACATAGCTGACATACAGATCCTGGTTTTGTGCAGATTTGTTAGTTACCTTGACAGCTATCTAAAGAAAAGGAACATTGCAGCAGATTAAAAAAAAAAAATTATATATATGCAATTGTTTACAAGGTATGTATTTCAATCACAGCTTAGAACCATTTTAAGTAGCTAACAAAGGAATATTTTTTAAAATGACATTTTATTATTTCTCTAGGTTGGTCACAGAAAACAGTAACTTTTGTTTATGGTATAGTTCAAGGCTGTTCCATAGTATTAGAAGGAAGTTCATTACAAGAAGTATTGTAAAGAAGTTCAAATCATTACAGTAATTTGTTGCAATGGAAATAAAGCAACACGGAAACAAAGTAACTATTTGCTGAGTGATCTATCAGATCTCTCTTTTAAGAAGCCTAAGACCATCCCCCCCAATTACTAAATATTCACCACAGGATTAAGAAAACAAGAAAAAAGACCTAATCTGCAGTAAGAAGTTTTACCAATAAGCTTCACCTTCCTTCAGCATAGCTCCAAACACATGCATGTTCAGTGTTTGCTCCTAATGACAACCCCTACATTTTAATGTAAAACATTGTTCCTCAGTTGCAATTTATACCAGCACAGTGTATTCATACACATGCTCAAATACCAAATCTCTGTCAGCACATGGCCAGAATATCATTGCCATCAAAGGAGTAACCATCCTTATTGACCACTACTCCCAAAGTGAAGGAACAATTTTTTACCCCATCATTTGAAAGTTTCCAGGTATTTTGAAAAATGCTTCTTTTCCTATTAGCCTACTTCTTTCAGCATACAGACCTGTCTACAGATAGGATACTAACTCTGCCTGCCCTGCTCCCTGCTAAAGGTTTCCTTTGTTTCTGGGCAAGAGCTGCAATTGGGAAATTCCAGAAAGTCACATTTGCAGATACTGCAAGCAAAGAAGCACTGAATGTCCTCTTGCTGCAACCAAGTGAGGAATGGGAATTTGTTGCACTCTTTCATCAAGTCTACTGCAGCAGTAACACCACCACATCTGTTGCTTTTCTCCAAGTTCTCTGCTAGTATGCAGAGTTCATCTGGTACTGCATTGACAATTCTGTGACAAACATGGCCAAAACACATGCCAAATATGCAGTAACAAGTGACATAGTCAATTAATCATCAGTAGTGCAACTTCTTTCATGCACTCACAAAAAAAGGCTGTGAGGCACAAGACGAAACATTCTTCCTTATCTGGCATTCCACCACCTAGGAAATCCTTTACTACATATTGACTCAATGCAACGCAGGTGTGCAAGTTTCCAGAGAACCCTTGCTACTATTGTTTCTCCACAAAGCAGCTGCTCTTTTATGCACTTTCCACTTTAGAACCCAGACAAGTATTGCACGTAATTTAAGAAGTCTGTTTCATCTGCTAGTTCCATAACTCTTCTTAAAATATTTTAAATTCATATCAAAACCACATTCCATGATCCTGTGCTCACTTCACAGACAGAGTTGCCACTCAAGCCTATGTAGGTGGACAGGAAATGCCTTCAAGAAAGCAGTTAGTTCCATTTACTCTTCTTCAGTCTTCCTGCTTCACATCCAGAACCTGTGCTAGTTGGTTAAATCCTACAGGAAAACGTGCAATCACTTGGTCAGCAGAAACGACAATATACCTTTGCTGCTTTGTTCAGTGTTTATGTTTATGATGGCTCGGTAGTGGTAAGTCTGAAAAACTGCACAAAAGGGAGAAAGCAGATAGGGGAAGTTAGGAATTTTCTCATGAACTCCCTTAGTTATGTCTCAGAGAAGTGGTGGCATTCCTCCATAAACACCTGGACATGGAATGCCAAATAGTGAAACCAGAGACTCTCACGCTGTGCAAGTCCTGCTGATACTAAGAACACAGTGCAGTCATACTGCAGGGCAGACATGGCTAGACAAATACAAACACCTGCTGAAACAGTTATGCCATCTTTTCTGGCCTCAGCCTCAGTAAACACATAAAAATAATATTACTATAGAAAAACAAGTATTCCTTTTTAGTTTTTTTAAACTTGCCTTTGGGTCGTTTGCATCAAAAAGCCCTGTAGAAAGTCCAATCAACAATGAACTTTTGCCTTTATCTTTTGCTGGTGATATGGAACGTGAACGAGGTATAAAAGGCTCTTCCTGTGAAGACTGAGCTGACAGAACTGGTGAGGCTGTTGGTACAGCTGTGGGCTGTATCACCCTCTGGAATAAGGGTTCAGGTTGCAGAGAGTCACTGGAACAAGTTTCTGATGTGGTAAAAGAAAGTTCGTTACAAATCTAAATAGAATAAAAACCCCAAGTTCTTAAGCAAAAGGTAACTAAAGAGAATAGAACTAACTTGTTTCTGTTGTACAATAGAAGGGGAAAATAGATAGCACTGTAGCAGTTATAAAATTTCTTTGGATTATTTTAGTAAATACATTACAATGTAAAATTCTCCCATTTTAATTTTTTGAAAATACAGAGCCTGGAGCTATAGCCTGTTCTGTTCTCATGCCTTCTAGTTTCTTGTTATCCAGTCCATGCCTGAAATTATGCTGTCATCCATTTTCATCTATTGCTTCTTGCCTTATACTACATTTCTTCAAAACCACCTCAACATAATTTACCCAAACACGGCAGGGGGGTGGGACGGGGATGGGACAGACTCACAGAATCACTAGGTTGGAAGGGACCTTC